ATTTGGAAGACTTTATTCATTTTTCTCTTTTCACAACCGTGTAGAACCTTCTGCATTCTCTATTCTTCCCATTCGTTTTCTCTGTGTGAGTCGATTATTCTTCTCTTTGTGAGATCTGAAATTTGAGTGGTTTTCTTCTGTGTGATGAAACCTGAAATATGTTGTTGAGTCCTTGTTTTTCAGTCCATTGAAGCAACCCGTAGTTTTGAGGACTTGTGAGGGTTCCTTGGTTGAGATAGGGCATCCTTGATGATACAAAATAGTACAAGGATCTGAGCCTAGTTCGATCATCAATCTTGATGTCCAGTGGTGTTATTGTGTAGATTTTATAGGGTATTTTTCATATATGTAATTGTCTTGTAAGGATTTGTAGTTAATAGTGGTATCAGAGCAACATTCTTGTGATTTTTGGGCTTCAATCGAGACTAGGAACCTGGAAAATCAATTTCTTGAGTTCTATCTCAAGGTCGATTGGAATTCCGAAAAACCTAGGTTTGAATTTGTTTCGACCTAAGGTTTACTGTTACGGATCTGACTCTTTTATGGTAAAATCTGAACATTCTTGTTAATTTTGTGGTTCGGCTGGTGGTTGGAGCCCAAGTTGAAATACTCTCGGTGGATTGCCCCTAGACTGCAATACTGATCGAATCTGCTGCTAAAAAGAAAGGACTCTAGTTGTACCCCCTGCGTGTTTGGTTGGATTGGTGGTTAAAAATCTATGAACCACCTTCTGGTTTGCATCTGTTTAAATCCATAACATTCCCATGTGATTTACTGTGATAGTATATGATTCTTTTATGTGTCTTGGTTGTTTTCTCACTGTACATTCGCTTGTGTGGTGAAATTTTAATAATTCTTGGATCTATGTGACCTGTTGTTGAAGTATATTGTGGTTTCTTGAGGATGTTCAAATTGAGCCTTGATCTGAGAACATGATGCTAACCGAATCCTGGTAAATTTGAGCATCTTGGGTAATAATTTGTATTCAGTTTCTAATTCCTATGATCTTGTGAGACTGTGTGTCCTTACTACTATAAATAATTGTGATATTCTTATCTAATTACTTTATATTTTTTGTGTGATTTTTTTATCCTTTCTAATATTGTGAAGGTCAAAACACTCTGTTGTTCAAGATTGATCAGTTGTCTAGTTCTTTTAAAAAATTTGAAGTACTTTATGTTATTTCTTTTCTTTTTTTTTTTTTTTTTTTTTTAAAATTAAAAAAATTTTTTTTTTTTTTTTTTTGAAAATGACAAACACTTCTTTTGAACTTGTTGTTTTTAATGGACAAGGGGATTTTCCCATTTGGCAAAAAAAAAATAAAAAATGAGAGGTCTCTTAGTTCAACAAAAAGTTGTTAAAGCAATAACATAAGAATATCCTGAAACTATGACAGTTGGTAAATAGAAAGAAGCTGATGAACTTGCATATACTTCTATTATTTTACATTTATCTGATCAAGTGCTAAGAAAAGTTGGTAAACATGATGATGCTAAAAAACTGTGGAATGAATTAGAGAAACTTTATCTGGTCAAATCCTTACCCAATAAATTGTTTCTGTTAGAGAAATTTTTCAGTTTTAGGATTGACCCTTCTGAGGACTTAGAAGATAANGTCAAATCCTTACCCAATAAATTGTTTCTGTTAGAGAAATTTTTCAGTTTTAGGATTGACCCTTCTGAGGACTTAGAAGATAATCTCAACACTTTTAATAAGCTTGTTCAAGACATAACTAATGCTGGTGATTAAGTTTCTAAAGAGTACAAACTTGTAGCCCTTTTAAATGCTATTCCTGAGACATATAAAGAAGTAAAAGCAGCCATAAAATATGGAAGAGATACCCTTATACTTGATATAGTAATAAATTCCTTATGAAGTAAAGATCTTGAACTTAAGGCTGAGAGAATAATGCTGGACTAGAAAATCTATTTGCTAGAGATAGGACCTTAACTAGGTCTAATACTACACAGGAAGGTCAAAGTAACTAGGGAACATGTCATAAGAGAAAGTTTAAAAGTAGGGGTAGATCAAAGTCCAAGACTAGGAATAAAAAATGCTATGGGCGTGGAAACTCTGGACAATTCATTAAAGTCTGTTACAAAAGGAAAAATAAACAGAAAAATAAAGGGGCAGATGAGGGAAATGTGGTAGAACCTACTACTGTGGATGTCTATGCAATAATTGAACAAATATCTGACCCTAACACGGCTAATGTTGTTGATGAAGGAAATCAGGTTCAGGAATAGATTCTGGACTCTGATTGTACTTTGCACATGACCTCTGGAAAGAATTAGCTAGCAGATTTTAAGAAAATCAATGAAGGAGAGGTAGTAATGGGAAACAACATAGCTTGTAAAGTTGAGGGTATTGGGAATGTTACACTGAAATTTGAGAATGGATATATCTATACCCTTGACAAGGTTAGATATGTTCCTGACTTAAATAGGAATCTAATTTCAATGGATAACCTGGATGATTTAGGCCTACAAGGTAAAATGGGTTATGGTCACTTAAAGGTGATTAAAGGTTCACTCATCATCTTTAAGGGAGTTAAAAGAAATGAGATTTATGTTGCTAAGGCTAGTATAATTAGTAATGAAGTTGTTGAATTTTCCAGTGCTGAACTTGATGCCACTTTAAAGTGGCATAATAGACTTACTCATGTGGGTGAGAAGGGTTTATAGATCCTCCACAAGATGACCCTTGAAAAGTTTTAAGTTTGGAAAAACTTGATGGAAAATCAGACACGGAAGAGGGTTAAGGTGCTTAGAATTGATAATGGCCTGAAATTCTACAATAAGGAGTTTGATCAGTTCTGTAGTAGCACTGGAATCAATAAACATAGGACTGCACCATATATCCCTCAGCAAAATGGAGTTGCTGAGAGGATGAACATGACTTTGCTAGATAAAGTGAGGTACATGCTTATAAGTTCTGATGTTCCCAAAGTCTTGTGGGTGTGAGTCTTTGATGATAGCTTCATATATTGTTAATAGAATACCATCAAGTGCTCTAGGTGATAAAACACTTAAGGAGCAATGGATTGACTATGTTCCTGATTGCTCACACTTAAAAATCTTTGGACGTGTTGCCTATTCCATCAGAGTGTAGGTAAGTTAGAACCTAGGGCCCATAAATGTGTTTTCTTGGGTTATCCTGAGAGGGTAAAGGATTATAGGCTGTGGAGTAGGGAAACTAAAGGTTTTAAAATCATCACCAGTAGAAATGTCATTTTTTATGAGTAAAAAATGCCTTGGTTGGAGAATATTGAGTCAAATGGCCAATCTAAAGTTGAAGAAAATGATAGGACCAAATTGCAGGTGGAGGATGAGGCAAAAAAAATGCCTCTGATCTTCAAGAAACAGAAGAAATGGAGTGTTCAAGAGATTATAGAAAATCAGCCTGTAGAGTTGGGAGATTATCAATTGACTACAGACAGGATTAGGTGAGAGATAAGAGAACCTGTTAGGTATAGAGATTACCTTTCACTTGTTGTACTTTCTTATCAAGATCTTGTCTTTAAAGAACCAAAATCTTATGAAGAGGCAATAGGCAGTCAATAATCTATTAATTGGCAAGATGCTATGAAAGATGAAATGGACTCTTTAATGAAAAATAAGACCTCGAATTTAGT